CAGCAGTGTTAGAACTGTTTGTAAACAAAGAGTTTAAAGTCATGTTAGAATTGTGTGTAAAGTAAGCTTGTGGGGGGGCGGGGAGTGAGAGTTGTTTATAAAATAAGTTGAAGGAATGTGAAAATTGTAGTTAAACACGGCATCTCTGGAGCAGTAGAGTTGTGTGTAAATCGTGGATAGTGGGAACTGTGCCCCACCCCCCTACACCATCGCCATTTGACTCTTAACTCCATCCCTACCAGACTGGACGTGGTCTCTGGGCGCGGGCCTGGGTCCCCCTGAGCAATCAGGGTTGGCCTCTCCCAACCGGTACCGTGCCCACTGGATGCCTCCGCGCTGGGCCCAGGCTGCCCCTGAGCCGGAGCAGGAGCGCCGGCACCGGCAGATTGTATCCTGGTTCGCTGACCATCCCTGGTCCCCCTTCGGCCTACACCGGCTGGTGGAGCTTGGGCAGAGCTCGGGCAAGAAGGCGGGTGACTGGTATGGGCCGTCCCTGGTGGCGCACATACTCAGGTGAGGGCCGCTGCATGGGACACGGGAGCTACTGGGTACCCCCAGGAGCTCAGGCCTTTCCTCCCATCCCCAGGAAAGCTGTGGAGAGCTGCTCAGAGGTCACCCGCCTGGTGGTGTACGTTTCTCAGGACTGCACAGGTAAGGGGCTGGGAGCCAAGGTCACAGGGTTCTCACCCTGAGCCAGTCACTACCTCAGCTGCCTCTTAGGACCCATATTCCTCAGATGCTGAAACAAGTTCTGTGGCAGAGGGACCCTTGGAAAGGATTCGAGGCCCACACTGGGTCGGGGTGCTCTGGATTCCTTCCCTCCCTCTGGAACCAGGAGAGGAGACTTCAGGGGCTTCTCCCTGAGTGATAGAATAAAAGACATAAGGAATTCCTCTCGCAGGTCCAACTCGCTCTTACTGTGTTAAACAGGTCCAACATGTACGAAAGTTGGGTCTCTGCCTCACAGGGTTGTCATGAGGATTAAGTGAGTCAGTGATAAAAGTAAAAGCCTTAGGATAGTACTTCTCACTTAGTAAGTATTCACTAAATCTTAGCTATTATTGTTATTATTCCCTCGAAAACAGTTCAGGAGAGCCTTTTTCTTAGTCTGTTAGGGCTGCTGTAACAAAAATACCATAGACCAGGGACTTCCCTGGCGGTCCAGTGGTTAGGACTCGGCGCTTTCACTGCCAGGGCCCTGGTTGATCCCCAGTCAGGGACTTATATCCCACAAGCTGCACGGCATGGCCGAAAAACCAAAACAACACACAAAAAACCATAGACTGGGTGGCTTGTGAACAACAGGAATTTATTTTTCATAATTCTGGAGGCTGGGAAGTCCAAGAACAAGGCACTGGCAGTTTTCATGTCTGTTGGGAGCCCACTTCCTGGTTCACTTTGCTGTGTCTTCAGGTAGCAAAAGGGGCAAGCGAGCTCTCTGGGGTCCCTTGTATAAGGGCAGTGATTTCACTCCTGACCTAATCCCCTCCCAAAGGCCCCACTTCCTAATTCCATCACCTTGTGGGGTAAGATTTCAACATAAGAATTTAGAGGGGGGCACAAGCATTCAGAACGTAGCAGCTGCCTCCGGAAAGGGTTGAATGCACTTTTCTGGGAGCCAGGAGGGGGCTCACATAGCCACAAGGGAGGAGGCGGGAGAGGAGAAACCAGCAGACAGGACTTGAGGAGGGACACACAGGAAGTTTCAGCTGACTGGCGGATTGCTCAGCGCTCTCATTTCCATCTTAGAAACCCAGGGGACTAGAGGCACTCTGGGCTGTGGGGAAGGCTCTCCAACCCCTCCTAGGTTTACACTATTTGTCTCAGTCTCAGGACGTCAGTTACCCTCTCTGTAAAATGGGGATGTCCACACCTGCCTGGAGGCCCTGGGATTGTCTGAGGGAGCTTGGGGTGGGGGGACACTGGAAAGGTGCTTTTCTGCCGATGACAGGAGTGTCATCCCAAGAGGTTGCTCAGGCAGGGTTGGTCCCCTGAGGATGGAGGACCATACTCTGAGGCTCGAAGGGCCGGAGAGAATGTGACCTGCTGCCCTGTCCTTCCAGTGTACAAGGCGGATGTGGCACGCCTGGTGGCCAGGCCAGACCCCACAGCTGAGTGGAAGTCCGTGGTCATCCTGGTGCCAGTGCGGCTGGGTGGCGAGACTCTCAACCCCGTGTACGTGCCCTGCATGAAGGTAGGTTCTACCAGATTCTACCATGCCTCCCCCCAGGAGCCCTGCAGACCTTTTCAGCTTGGGTTAGGTGTTTATGCTTCCTTCATCTCTTCATTGGTTTATCCAGTAGTTACAGAGCACCAATTATGTGCCAAGAACTGTCCCAGCTGCTGGGGATTCAGAGGTGAACAGGCAACAACTGATGCCCTCTGGGAACAGATGTTCTAATGGGGGAGTAACAGGCAGTGTGTGTGGAACCAAATTGACAGCTGTGGTGTTACAACTCGGACTCTAAAGGAACCAAAATTAACACGATGAGGGGCAGATGCGGGTGGCTGCACAGCCTAGGAAAGCCCCTCTCTAGCCAGAAGCAAGAGAGAAGCCAGAGGAGGAGTGTTCCGGGCAAAAGGACAGCAAGGCTGGAAAGACCCTGATGTGTTTATACCCGGAATAAAGGCCAAAGATCTCTCCACAGCCCACAGGGCCCTGTACTATCTGCCCACACTCTCCAACTCACTTCATTCTGCTCCAGCCACACAGGCCTCTTCACTGTTCTCAGAAGACACCTGCCTCAGAGCCTTTGCACTAGCTGTTCCCATCACTTGGAGCGCTCCTTCCCAAGATGCACTCTTTTTTTTTTTTTAACATCTTTATTGGAGTATAATTGCTTTACAATGGTGTTATTTTCTGGTCTATAACAAAGTGAATCAGCTATACGTATCCCAAGATGCACTCTTAACTCCCTTAACTTTTTGCTAAAACATCATCTCTCAGTGAGGCCTTTTCCTGATTCCCCTATTTAAAATGGCAAAGCCTTCTTCCTGCCTTTCTTCTTTCTCCAGTGTTACCGTCTTGTGACACATGACGTAACTTGCTCATCTTGTTCCTTGTACTCCCGCACTAGAACATCAGCTGCATAAGGGCAGGGTTTTGTCTATCTTGGTCACTGCTACCCCCCAGGGCCCAGCACAGGCTTGGGTTTGCTCACACTGGGCCTTTGCTATGCATTTGTTGACAGTGCTTACAATGCTCACTGACGGCACCTGCTGTGGTCCTTACCTTCACCCACTTTCTTCCCCGCAGGAGCTCCTGCGTTCAGAGTTGTGCCTTGGCATCATGGGGGGCAAGCCACGCCACTCGCTCTACTTCATTGGCTATCAGGGTAGGCCCACCCCACCCAGCTTCATCCCATCCCACCTTACCCTCTTCCACCCCTGCTCACGCTTTCCCCCCTGCAGATGACTTCCTCCTCTACCTGGACCCTCACTACTGCCAGCCCACTGTGGATGTCAGCCAGGCTGACTTCCCCCTAGAGGTGAGCTGGGACCCCCAGGGTGGGGCTGGAGGCCTGTGGAGGGTTCCCCCCGAGCCTCCCTTGTTTGTCTGCCTCAGTCCTTCCATTGCACCTCACCCCGCAAGATGGCCTTTGCCAAGATGGACCCGAGCTGTACTGTGGGGTTCTATGCTGGAGACAGGAAGGAGTTTGAGACGCTCTGCTCAGAGCTGACCAGGGTGAGCAAGGCATGCTGGAGGGTGGGAGGCAAAGGGCAGGGCTAGGGTAGAAGAGGAACAGAGGCTTTGAGGCCAGCAGACCTGGCAAGGCCACGTCCAGGCTATGTTGTTAAGATTATTATCCTGACCACAAGCTGCAAAAGCCCAGCTCTAATTAGAGCAAAAAGAGGCATGAAATGAAAAATTTAAGGGGACAGCTGCTTCCAGGGGGTCACGTGGTAGGACCCTGCCTTGTCCTTTGGCTCTGTTTTCCTATCAAGGCTTTACCCTTATGGTGGCAAGAAGTGGCCACCAGGCTTTCTGGGCACCTACTATTTAGTTGACTGGAAAGGGAGCCCCACCTTCTCAGCAGATAGAGAAAATCCCAGGGCTGAAAATCCCACAGCTGTGGTTCATTGGCTGCACAGGGTCATGTGCTCATCACTGAGCCAATCACTATAGCCAGGGCACAGAAGGTGCTGATTGGCTGGCCTGCATCACTGCCCTGGAGGGATGGGAGTTGAGTTCAGGAAGCACCCGATAAATATACCTGCTAAGATAATTATACCTACTAGGATAATTAACATGGCTTGGGGGCTGAGCTGTTCTCTCTCCTCCCACCAGGTCCTCAGCTCCTCCTCAGCCACAGAGCGATACCCTATGTTCACCCTGGTTGAGGGCCATGCTCAGGACCACAGCCTGGACGACCTCTGCTCCCAGCCCTCCCAACCCACACTGCGGCTCCCTCGCACAGGCCGGCTCCTCAAGGCTAAACGCCCAAGCTCTGAGGACTTTGTGTTTTTATAAAGGGAGGGGGTGAGGGAGAAGACAGGACCCTATTTATTTTTTTATTTATGTCACTCTGGGTGTGGGAGCTTGAACTCCCCCCCTGACAAGTGCAGCTGAGAGCAGTCCAGGAAGCCTCCGGGCCGGGGCCATTCAGCCAGGAACAGAGCCCGCACACCTGCCTCCCACCAGCTGGGCCCCCCTCATCAGGCAGGGAGGGAGGGCCCCCGGGCACCCACTCAGGGCCTGACTCTACTGTAGTTTGCACTGGACCGTCCATGCCCCTCACCGGTCCCAACGCCCCCATCCTGCCAAGGGCTGGTGGGAGGGAGGAGGGGCTGTGACCAATGGGGGCTAATAAAGCCGTTTGACTTGACCTTGGCTATGGTTGGGCCCAGCATTTGAGGGATGGGGCTCAGGGTGTATCTTGAGGTGAGGTTCCAAGTCATCCGGGGAAGCTTATTGAGTAGGCCTCAGCTTTCACATCTCTAAGATGGGAAGACTCCCTTGCCCACAGGTTGATGTGAGGGTCTGTACAGTCGATAAGAGGGGGCTTGATTGAAGGGGAGGAGCCCTAAGGCCCCTGCAGGCTCCCTTGAGCTCAGGGGTGGCTCTTAGGCCCCTGCCGCTTCCTCCGTTGCCGGCCCAGCTGGCGGAAGTGCAGCCGTTTGGGGTTGAGGCCAAAGGCCTGCAGTCTCTGGTGGCTGAACTCGCATCCACCAAGTGTTACTGTGGGGCCCAGGAGACGTGCCTTCTTGCCCCTCCTCTGCCTCTGGGGGGCCGGTTTCTCGGTGGGTGTCGCAGGGGCTGCCTCTTCCTGTACTGGGGGGCTGTCAGGCTGGGACCACTTCCCACAGGCCCCATCGGGTGCCAGCAGCTGCCCCTGTGGGCTAGCTTTGTCTCTCTGTGGCTTCCCTGTGGCTTCTGTGGGCATCTTTGTCCTGGAGGAGGAAGGCGTGGCTCAGCCCAGGCCAGTCAGTTAGGCTTTCCATCCCCCATTTTTACAGATATGAAAAGGAAAGGCCCAGAATTCGGGGGCCTGGACTTCCTTGGCGGTCCAGTGGTTAAGACTCCGTGCCTCCACTGCAGGGGGCACGGGTTAAATCCCTCGTCGGGGAACTGAGATCCCACATGCCACGCGGCGTGGCCCAAAAAAAAAAAAAAAATTCAGGGGCCTGCCTGGGACTCAAACGTGGGTCTAATGCAATACCAAATGGGATTTTTCTACTGCACTCTAAGGCTGGATTGTGTCACTGATAATTTTGATTGTTGAGCCTGGGCCTGCACTAAGCTCTTCACACAAATTAACTCATTTTAGCTTTACATCAACTCCGTGAGCTTTTATAACTCCTGATTTATAGATCAGGAAATAACAGGCATAATAACGAGCTAATACCTATCCAGAACTTATTGTTTTAAGCACTATAGCTGAATTAATTCACTTAATCCTCAAAAAAAAGAAAAACCCAACAAGAAGTGAGCCATCTTTATCCCCATTTTATAAATAAGGAAGCAGGCCTAGAGAGGGAAAGTGATTTGCCCAACGTCACACAGCTACAGCCCAGCCAGGACTTGATACCCAGGTATCAGAGAAGGGAAACCCCATTCCCAAGGTCATGTGACAGATGGCTGACAGAGCATGACTCAAACCTGGGCCTGGCAGGCTCCCAAGCCCACCCACCCCCTACAACCAACAATACTTACTCCTCTGGGCAGAGTGACTTGAAGATCTGCCTCTTTTTCCATATGTTCTGGGCCTTCTGGCTGTACGCCCTCCTGTCCTGCAGCTCCTCCTGCTCCGACCTGCAGGCCGCTGGGTGCTCTGGTAGTTGCCCATGCTTGCCTTCAGCCTGCCCGCCCCTCCCCCCCCCCCCCGGGGCCCAGCCAGTGCCCTGCCTCCCCTCCTTTTCTCTGATAAGCCCTGCCTGGCACCCTCCCTCTCCCCCACGTTCGACCCCCCGACACAGCTAAGTCATCAGGTCCCACCTCCTTCCACCAGCCCATGGTGCGTGTGTGAGAGAGAGAGAGACTGAGGACCCCCCCCCCCCCGGGGCACCTGGCCCAGCCCCACCCCGTCACCTGTACATGCAGGTCTTCTTCAGGGAGCACCATCGGTTCAGCTCCTTGTCATCGGCAGTGAGGATCTGCAAGGGCAGGGAGAGTGGGGTCCTGCTCGTGAGCCCCAGGGGGCCCTGACTCTTAAGCCTTAGTCACCTCATGGGTCAAAGCAGGGTAATGCCAGTTCCACCCAGCAGAAATGTCATGAAGGTGAGAAAGAACTGATTTCTACAGAGGCTAATTGATTTTTCTGTTGTTGGGGGCATCAGATGGGGAAACTGAGGCTCGGAGAGGGGATCCTTGCCCCAAGTTACATGGCCAGGAAGTGGCTACTCTCAGATTACAATTTGGGCCCTTGAGCCCTGACCCCATGCGCTGTGGTCCCAGCAGCCTCAGACCAGGGCAGGGGTCTCCATGCCACTGACTGGGTTTGCTAATTACAGATGAGGCCCAGGTTCCTCACTTATGAGTTGGACACCCCCTTAGAACCTACTGGAAGGTCATCAGGAAGATGAAGTGAATGCAGATGTTATAAGCTCAATACACATCGTCTATTTTTACTGTCAAGCATCCATAGCCATTGTGGCTAAGGCGCAAGTGACATTCAAAGCATATTTTTTCACATCCACATCCATGAGGTGGGGCTGTTATGAGGCCCATTTTACAGATGGGGAAACCCAGGCACAGAGGCCCTAGTCACATGTCCAAGGTTATACAGCTGGTGAGCGGCTGAGCCAGGATTTGAACCTGTGTCAAGTCTTAAGGGTCACCCTGCTGCTGATATACGGTAACAGAATTAAAACTAATATTTACTGGGGCCTGCTGTGGGCAAAGAACTGTTTGAGCCCCTGCCTCACAGAAACCCTTTGAGGCAGGTAATATTATTAGTACTGTCATTAGCACTATTATTTCTGTTGTTTTCGAGATGAAAAAACAGGCCACGTCACAGCACAGATGGCTCCAGGCTCCCCCTTGCCTAGCGGGTGCCCCCAGGGTCCCACCTCCTCGGTGCTGAGCCCGAAGTCGCAGGGCACCACCGTGCGGTACTTGAAGCGACAGGGCAGGTCATCGATGATGTCCTCGTAGTCCAGCTGGTAATACTCGTCCAGGTACTCCTCGAATGTCTTGTCCCCTGAGCGGGGACAGAGCCAGGCTGCCGGGGTGTGCCGGGCCCTGTGGAGCCCCTGCCTGCCCACGGCCACCCACCCGGGCCTCACCAGGGTCAAACACAGGCTTCTCCTGCTCCACGGCTGTGGCGAAGGGCGACTTTCGCTTCTTCTTGCCCAACGAAGGAGCCTTGCGCTGCTGCTTCTGAGGCTGGCTGGGGTCATAGTCGGCATCCATCTGCCGGGATGCGCAGGTCAGGCCTGCCCTTGTGGTCCCCGGGACCCTCTGAGGACCCCCAGATCCCCGCGCCCCGGGCACCTACGTTGAAGTCGGGGTCCTCGCAGTGTGGCTCCTGCTGGCACCAAGCTCCACCCTGCTCCGGCCCAGCCCACGTGTCCCAGTTCCAGTCGTCTGATTCCAGAGGACAGGCAGGCAGGGGTGGGCCGGGGGGTCATGTCAGGCCAAGCAGCCCCCGCCCCCAGCCCACTGCCCCAGGTGACCTCACCTTCAAGCCCTTCCTCTTCCTCAAACTGTGGCTTCTCCTCCTCCATGGTTCCGTAGTACTTGTCCCCGAAGCACTTCTGCAGGGTTGGGGCCGGGAGGGTGAGCAGGGCCCACTCCCCCCAGATGGCAGCACTCCTGCACCTTAAATGGCCTCGCAGCAACCCCCTCAGCTCCGGATGTTGGGGGAACCCTGTGTGTCTGGGCTCCTCCACACGCACTTTTGGCTCATCTTGCCCCCTTGACCCCCCTGCTCTCTGTCCCCTGTTCCACTGGCTGGCAAAGGCAGATATTGCTAACCGTGCCATTTATAAGCACCTACTACATGCTGGACGCTGGGCTGCATCTCACTACGTTCTCACAAGTAGTTTTTGACAGAAACTACTGCCAAATATTGAGAAGCTGAAGCTCAGGACTGAGAAGCTTCTAGAAAGTGAAGGCTGAACTCTGACCACACAGCACCCACCCACTCCAGTTTTCACCTGGCCCACCTATGCATCCTTAGTCTCCTTCCTTGACCTCCCAGGCTTAGTCAGGGGCAGCTTTGCGGTGCCCGTGGTCCCCACTGCTCTCCCATCCAGCCCTCATCGCCTGTTCCAATGGCCTGAAGCTGTGTTTCCCCAAATACAACAATAAACACTAACGGCTCAATAAATGAGTTTAAAGGAAATACCAGGACCCACAGTTCCTTGAGCATTTACCAAGTTAATTAACATTTAGTATTCCTCTCAGGCTATCTTTACAACAGCCCTGACGTAAATGCTGCAGTTAGACCCACTTTATAGACAGAGACACAGGGTCAGAGAGGTCAAGTCACTTTTCTGAGGCCACACAGCCAGGAAGGGACTGCTGATTCCAGAGTCACGCTCTGAGCACTTGGCTGCACAGCCGGGCTGGGGCTCTGGGGCCACACCTGCATGAGCTGGTCGTGCTGGGCGGGGTCAAAGTCGTCCTCGAGGTCCTGCTCCTCAAAGCCCAGTGTCTCGTTGCCTGTGACCTGCCGCAGCCTCTCCAGCTTGGCCAGAATCTCCTTCCTCTTCAGGTTCTTCAGCTGCTTGAGTTCCTCCTGCTTCCTCGCTTTCTCCTGCAGGCGGCAGTTCACGGGAGAGGGAGGGTATGGGCTCCACCCTCGACCCAACCCACGCAGGCTGGGCCCCGCCTCCTCACAGCGCACCGCCCCACCAGACACTGACTCTCCTCTTCCGCTCCCGCGTCTCTTCCCTCCTCTCCTTCCTGCGCTCGTCCTTTCGGCGCACGGAGGATGTGATGTTCCGAGGATAGGTCTTGACCTGTGGGCAGCAGAGATGATTCCAGGCTCTCCCAGCCTGGACCCTGCGGGCCAGGTCCTCCCCGGAGCTGGCACGGGCCACCCACCGAGGCAGAGTCTGGCTCCTCGAAGCGGAAGTTGTACTTGTGCTCAAAGTCCTCCTGTTTCTTCAGAAACAGCTCACCCTCGTCTGAGGAGTCGTCCACGGCCAGCTGGACCGGGGGGCCAGGGACCCTGAGGGACGAGATGGGATGGGACTGGGGACGCCAGCCGAGCTCCTGCACTCCTGTGTACCAGCATATTAACTCATTTAATCCTCACAAGAACCCTCTGCTAGGGTGCCACCGTTACCCCCATTTACAGATGGGAAAACCGAGGCATGGAAATCCAGTGGCAGGGCCCCCTGGCTCCAGAGCCCACACTCTGCAGCTATTCCTCAAGAAAGACTAACTCTGGGGAATTCCCTGGTGGTCCAGTGGTTAAGACTCACACTTCCACTGCAGGGGCCACAGGTTCAATCCCTGGTTGGGGAACTAAGATCCTGCATGCCACACAGAGCAGCCAAAAAGAAAAAAAGAAAAGGGCTTCCCTGGTGGCACAGTGGTTGAGAGTCCGCCTGCCAATGCAGGGGACACAGGTGCGTGCCCCGGTCCGGGAAGACACCACATGCCGCGGAGCGGCTGGGCCTGTGAGCCACGGCCGCTGAGCCTGCGCGTCCGGAGCCTGTGCTCCGCAACGGGAGAGGCCACAACAGTGAGAGGCCCGCATACCGCAAAAAAAAAGAAAAAGAAAAAGAAAAGAAAAGAAAGGCTAACTCTGCTACCATCTATGTGAAAAAGTGTAAACGCCTGGTGCCTCTTCCTTTCTGGCCAGTGCTGGCTCCAGGCCCCCGGGGGACATGGCTACTCACACTTCTCCTTCCTCCTCTTCCTCCTCATCTCCTTCCTCCTCGTAGCGTTTGTTGAGGATGTAATCCCGCAGGAAGCGCTCCCCCTCATCCAGCTCTGGGTTGTTCCAATATTCCTTGAGGTGAGTCTAGGGGTGAAGGGGGGGTAATAGGACCTGGATCAGGGACTCGGGGACAGGGAAGGAGCACAGATGTGGGCACCCAGTGGATTTGAGTGACTGCAGCTTCACAGCCAGCTTATGAAGTAGGTGGGCTAATCCTCACTTTATAGATGTAGAAGCTGAGGCCCAGAGAGGGACACACCCCATCTTTAGAGAATGTGCTCCTGGCTACCCTCTCAAGGGCCGGTTTCCAGGGAAAGGTTGGATGGAGGCAGACCAGGTAGTTTAGCGGGTCAGGGACCACGAATGGGAACTCACCAGTTCTTTCAGGGTGTCGGGGTTCTGAATCTCCTTCTGCCCCTTCAGCCACTCGATGTAATCAGCATCCTCCTGGGCCTGGGGGGAAGGCCAGCGCTGAGGGTCTGTGGGAGCCCCGGGGCCCCCTCTCTGCCACCAGCCCCCGTCTAGCTGGGCCCCAGCACCCACCTTCTGCTCTCTGCTTTTAGCGCGTTTCTGCAGTAGCCCGGAGCCGCCTTCCCCAGCACTGTCCTCGTCCTCACTCTCCACAAATGCCCGGAAGCTGCCCGGACGAGAGAACAAGCCTCAGGACGGGTGGGCTGGCCCTGCCCGCTGCCCCGAGACAAGCCCCGTCTACTAATCCCTGAGCTTGTCCTGACAAGCCCAGAGCTGTGCTGTGACATAGAGCCCATGACCAACCCCATGTCACAGATGCAGAAACTGAGGCCCGGAGCTAGCAAACGATGTGCCCAAGGGCACACAGCCATTAAGTGACAGAGCTGGATTTGAACCCAGGCCCGCCCAACCTCAGAGCCTCAACTCCTTTCCATCTGGCCACTCAGCCAGCCCCAGGGCTCACCTTTCCTTCAGCTGTTTCTGTTCTTCCACATAACTTTTCGATGAGGTCTGCTGCAGAGAGAGTGACATGGGCCTCAGGCCCAGCCCTTAGGCTTGAAGTGCCCCCAAGCCCCCTACCCAGCCTCCACCCCACTCACCTGGAGTCTCTGATTGGAGGCCTCCCCCTCTGAATTCTCCTCATCGACATATTTGCTGTGTGAAGAAGGAAGAGGGCTTCAGAATAGACCCCCCATGGCCTGTCTGTCCCCATGGGGTGGGGGCTGTTAAGAGCGACAGCTGGTGGAGGGGGCAGTGGGGTGCAGGCAGGCTCCTGCTCTCCAGGGTTCCCTCAACTCTGGTGAGTCACTGGCTTCTTCCCACCCCTGCCCCTAAGTGCCTGATGTGTCCACCTGCCCTGGGAAGGTGTGAGCAGAGGGGTCAGGCTTTCTCCTTACCCTCCCTTCTCCAAGATAACCTTCCTCTCGTAGTCCTTCAGGTACATGGGCTGCACCTTCTTCTGTTTCTCTTCAGCTGCTGGCTCCTCCTTCCTGTCTGAGGGCGATGCTGCGGGGACACCAGAAAACACCTGCCATCACCCACATCCACAAACCCCTTCCTCCCCCAGGCAGAGAGTAAGACTATGCTGGGCCAGAGTCAGACCGAGGTTTCAAATCCCCGAGCCACTAGTTCCCAGCTATCAAAGAGGCATCACACTTGCTACTACCTGGAAGTACCTGGCAGTGATCATTCAGTGAATAATTCACACTCAGAACAGGGCCAAGCACACAGCCGTTATTAATGACAACAGGTCTTAACCTAAGACACTCTGCTAAGTGGTTTTTTTGTTTTGTTTTTTTTGCCTTGCCGCGTGGCATGCCGGATCTTAGTTTCCCCCACCAGGGATTGAACCCGTGCCCCCTGCAGTAGAAGAATGGAGTCTTAGCCACTGGACTGCCAGGCAAGTCCCTTTGCTAATCAGTTTTGATGTGTGTGGAGATCCATTAAACAGTCACAACCGCCTATAAAGCAACGAGGAATCTGGGCCTCAGCAGAAGTAGCCCCAGACCTGTTCTCTGATAGAAGGTAGCATCTTTCTGATAGATGCGCGGATCCTTTTTCTTCAGTAAGGAGAGGGTCCTGTAAAAGTCACGCTCCTGCTGAGTGTCAAATTCCTAGAGCAGGAAAAGGGGTGGGGACAGACTTCAGAAAGCGGCTGTGATGGGGGCAGTAAGCAACAGGGGCAGGTGGGCTGAGAGTGTGTGGGAATTAGTGTGCATAGAGGGGTATATGTTAGGAGGAAGGAAGGGGGGGAATCCGGCTGGGTAGAGGTAGGTGGGGGTGGAGGGCTGGATCTGAATTGGGGGGAGTGGTCAATTAGGTGGAGGAAGGAGAGGGGCCCTCTTGCGGGTGGGCCACACATAGGTACGGGATATGAGACAGAGGAAGGTAGCAGGCAAGGGGGTGGGTGGTACTTTCTGGTATCAACAAGGGATGGACAACCTAGGGGCAAGTGGGCAGAGGGCACATAAGAACAGAGAGGGAGGGCTAGACTGCTCAGTGAGGCTGGGAAGATCAGGGCTGATATGGGGAAAAGCTGGGTGCCCCATGTGGCAGAGGGATGCCCCACTCTGGGGACAGAGGCAGACACGGAGAAACGGTTAAAGTGTTAGGGACGAAACTGTGGACAGAGGGTTCACACCTCACAGATCAAGATGGGCAGGTAGATCCGAGGTAGGGGAGGGGAAGTAGGGGAGATCTGCCCACTCCCTGGGGATGGGGAGGGCGCTGTCTGTCCTTCATGGAAATGGGGGGTGGGAGATGGACGCTCCCGTACGGCGCGATGGGGTTGGGAGCTAGCCGCCCCCTATAAGTCGGGGCCGGGATGCGGTGTGGGGCTTGGACACCTCCCGCAAGTCCGGGAGGGAGGCGGGGAAGCTCACCACGCGCTCGTCGCCGGAGTCAGACTCGGAGCTGGAGTCGCCGCAGCTGTCCCTATCCCCATAGCGATCTTTCACTGTGGGGCACAGATGGGATTCCCCCCCCCAGCTCAGGCTCGGGGAGCAGATCAACCCCCACTTCCCGACCGCCCTGCACACGCCGGCGCCACGCGCGCATGCGTCCCGCACTCACGCCGCTGCAGCTCCTCGCGCTCCCGGTAGCGGCCGTACCGCGCGGCGAACGCCGCGTTCACCCGCAGGGGTGACGACCCGCGCGGCTCCGGCATGGCGGCTCCACGATCCACTGCGCACGCGTGTGAAGAGGCCCCACCGCCCAGGAGGCGGGGCTACTCACTAGCTAGCTTTAAATGGGGCGGAGCCTCATGGGCCGCACCTAATCCGCCCCCGGTCCTTCCGGGATCCCTAGCCCTGTGACCGCAGTCCCCGCCCATGGGCCACGCCTCTGCGGGGAAGGCTGCAGCCACCGCCCACCCCACTCCCCCACCCGCCGAGGCTCCCGGCACCCAGCTGACATCTGGGGGCCCTTTCTCCACTCGCGGTTTCCTGCCTCCCTTCCGTTCCGACAGCGCAAACCGCTGCCCCACCCAGCTCACTCACCGTGGCGCCCTGGGAATTACCACTCTCTCCCCTCCCCCAAAGCATCCAGGATCCGCGACCCCGGTGCCCACCCCCACAAACATCCTGAACACGAGACTTTCCATCGCAGCCTCAAAAATCAGAAGCCACCGGCGCTGTGATCATGCACAAGTCTTAATTTAATGGGTAAAAACATTAAATTACACACACAACAATTTCTTCCATAAATCATAATAAATAGACTTTTTTTTTTTTCTTTAACGCTGTACAAGGGACTGGAAACCAAGCTTTCAACAAAATATGAATGAACTCATACTACCCTTTTATTGATTTGGAACACTCCCCCCTCCCCCATGCCGGAAAGCAGTGTGCACACTTGAGGTCTCTCTCTGAGTACAGCCAGCCAAGGTCGACAGGTTCCAGGAGCCTTGGAAGCGATGACCTCACTCTAGGGCTGGGGCTTTAAACGCTCTGCCCTTGGGACTCGTCTGTAGCCCCGGCAGTCGGGGCGTGGAGGAAACCGAACCGTTTAGGTGGCTGTTGCCTGCAGGAGCCCTTCTCTGCCCAGCACACCAAAAGGGGTGAGAAAAAAAAAAGAGAAATGTACCTCAAACACACACACCCCAGAAATCAACACCAACAAGCCACAAACTGGTGCCCCTCGGCAGTGGGCAGGAGGAAGAAAGGGAGAAAGTGTTTCTTCCCTCCTCTTCTGACACAGAACCCAGCCGGGTCCTGCCGCCGGAGTGGGTGGCCCCAGGTCACAGTGGTGCCACCGTGTGCCACTGCAGTATGTCCATGAGATCCTTAGCGCCTCTCCCCCTTGCCAGCTCCAGAGGTGTGAGCCCCCTGGCGTCCCTGTGATGAAGATCGGACTCGGCAGCCAGGAAGCCGACCACAGCCGTGTGGCCCTCTCTCACTGCCAGATGGATGGGGAGGGCCCCGGTGCCATCAGGTGCATTGACATCAGCGCCATGCTCCACCAGCACTTTCAGGGTGTCAAGGAATCCAGTGCGGGCTGCATCATGGGCTGGAGTGGTGCCAGAGGCATCCTGGACGTTGGGGCTGGCACCTTGCTTCAGGAGCTCCAGGGCGATGGTGGGGCTGCCAAACATCATGACCTGTTCAGGGGATAGAGGGTCAGGGGGTTTCTGAAGGAGGAGGTCCAGGAAAATGGGTGACTGCAGAGAGGGGCATTCAGGAGAATGCCAGAGACGAGGTCCTCTAGCGAATGAGAAACTTCAGGGAACATAAACTCCCAGGCAGCTGTTGAGACCCCATAGAAGATCTGGGAATAAGGATCCTCAAAAAAACTGGTCACCCCCACAAGGATCATACACTCCCCCTAGGGTATAGCCCCATGGAAACTTTCAAGGAACCTGAGACCCTCCCCCAAGGAACCAGAGACACTTCTCTCCACAGATGGGAAATCATCAGGAAATATGAACCCCCCGCCAGGAAACAGACCTCAGAGAACAGCCCCCTCAAGGGAAAGGAGATGGCCAGGGAATTTGAAACTCCATCTTCAAGGAATTTCCCCCTCCCATATAGTGAGGATGCTCCTAAAGGTACCTGACCCTCTCAAGAAATGGGGTTCCCCTTTTGTAAATGTCCCCAAGGGAAGAGGGACTCCCATGTAATCTGTAACTATTCCCTTATTGGGATCCCCCCAATAATATGCCAATATGAAAATCCCGCAGGAATGGAGATTCCCCGAACACCCAGAAACTGGATACCTCTCAGAGAACCCCCCCAGAAAATGGGGACACCCTGGAAACATGAATCCTTTCTTCCTGCGGTCGGATCCTCCATGCAAGCTCCAAGAAACCGGAGCCGTCCTCATGAAACCGGGATCCAAAGAAGCTGAACCCTCACCCAAGGAATACGAACTTCTCCAGGGAAACTGAATCCTCCGCAATCAGAGAACGAGGAATACGCCAAAGATGGAAAGTTCTCCCCTCCCCCAACCTAACCCCATCCACCACCCACCTAAGAAAGGGGACATCAGGGAGCCAAGTCAGCCCAGCGATGGAGGTACAGCCCCCAGTCGGCTACCAACGGGAACAAGGAGAGAAGAGGGAAGGTGTCTGGGGTCCCGGTCCTCGCCCCGCTCCCCGCCTCGCCCTCGTTGGGGGAGGGCCGGGCCTCACCTGCAGCGCCGTCTTGCCAAAG